CGAAATGAACTGCAGCTGCACCAAAGTAAATAATCTCTTCACCATTTTATTTGGTATTGATATTTTAAGCCTATTGATATTTTAAGCAGTAACTCTTGGGCTGCACTTTCTGAAAGTGAAACATAGGAACCGCCAGAGAAGATCCTAAAGTCCACTACAGGCAGCACCGTGCACTGAAGCCCACCGGAGTCCAGGCACTCACCAGGCAGTATGATGTGGACAGTAGCTGAGGGATTCCACTCCACCCCCTCAGGGTAGCACAGCAGCGCCCCATTCCTGTCAGACTGGTCTACCCTGATCTGGCTGTGTGGCTCGTAAACATATTGGGAGATACGAAACTTGGTCCCATGCCGGTCCTGCACCACCAGCTCCAGGAGATAGCGGCTACCATGGAGATTGTCGATTCGCTGTTCTACGTTGACGACTTGCAACAGGGTGAAGTGTCTACAGGCAAGAATGGGATAGTTTGAGCTTTCATTCAGCCAAACTTTAACACAATGGATTAATATAAATGAAATTAAAGAGGAAAAAAAAACATCCTTAAGAAGAATCTCTAAGCATTGTACAGAATATGGATTTTTCTTTATGGACATTTTCTTTATGAATGCTGCACAATGAAGAAACAGAAAAGGAAGAGTATTGCCACCGTTGAACTTGGTGAGGACTTCTATAATCACCAACAACAACAACAACAGTAATACAGAATCTACAATGAAAAAGTACAGTCTTGACCAAATCAAGCCTGAACTTTCACTAGAAACAAAAATTGATACATCTTATTTTGGGCACATTACGGTAAGGCATGGGGTCTTGGAAAAAAATGTATATGCTCAGAAAATATTCATGTAAAAGAGGAAGAGGACAATGACAAAAAAAAAACATTGATAGCCTCAATCATAACTGCACTGAGAATGCCTCTGAGAGCCTGAAGACTTGGACAGAAAACAGAAAGCTGTAGAGGAATGACATATGTGGTGGTCAAGAGTTGACAGACTCAAAGGCACATAATTATCTAAAAAATAACATTACACTATTTACTAGGGATGTAACGGTATCAAAACTTCACGGTACGGTAATACCTCGGTATGAATGGCACGGTACGGTATTTATTGAATCATTTACAGGAAAAACAAAACTAATGAAGAGACTCGAAAAAAGTGCCAGAAGTGTTT